CCCAAGAACCCATGCTCAGTCTTAGGGGAGGGGCTTTGGCCCTTGAGTCCTGCAGCCCGGTCCACTTGGGGCTCAGCCTCCATCTCGCCAACCATGTGAATTTTAGACACCCTCTTTCTTCACAGGAGAAGTCACTACAGCTGTTGGGCACATACACATAGATCCCATCACCATCATTATCATCTCTCAAGAATAAACACTTATCCTGAGAATGTATAGTTCAAAGCTAATGAGAACAATATTTTTCTTACTGACCCATAACTTGCCAAGCAGCCCCTCCCCAATTATTTTGCAGGGTAGGGTTCAGATCTTTTCCTCTTCACCTTATCTCCAAAGGATGCCCTTCTGGTCCTACAGGAAATACGGGAAAGCCATATATATCCTAATAGCTGCTCCCTTAATTACACAAATGGAAACTTGAAATAATCATTTTATTAAGGCTCATGCTTAGTCATGAGCCCTTGTTTGCCTAACTTTCCTTCTGGGGAAAAAGGAGGAGGTGGCTTATTTCTACTACAATCTACATTCTGCTTCTAATCCTCTGTTCTCCACATTGCCTACTTTCCCGTATTCCGGTTCAGCACCCTACGTTTTCTGTTCAGTATCCTCTATTCCAAAGCTCTGTATTCCCAGAAGAATCCCAGATCCATGCTGTCCTTGACCTCAGTTTGTCCGTCCAACCTGGAATCTTCCCTTCTGTGAAATTTTTTTGCAATTTTCTATAGAACTGCACTGTATCACTAATATCATCTAACATGCTGACCTCGTGAATAAATGAATGAATGAATGAATGAGATACTTTCAGCATGGCTTGCCATTTCTCTCTACATCAGTTCTGGCTGGGTTTGGCTCTATCCCTTAAATACACCACCAGCTCTAAACATAGAATAAATATCTCTTTTTTTTTATTTAAAAAGTAGGGTGGAGTTGAGGAGGGAAAAGGGGATAGAGAAGGAGAGAAGTCAGATCACATCAGCTGGTTCACAATCCAATAGCTTACTCTAGGGGGTAATCATGTTTGAAACCTCACTGTCCGGGACTCCCAAGAAGCTTCCAAGAGTCAGGAAAATGAGTAAAAGTACTTTGAGGGAAAAAAAAAATGGACTAACAAAAATGAGGGGTAGTCAGGAGGGGTGAGACCAAAGGCAGACTATGAAATGCACTTGTTGATTCTCAGAGATGCAGGAGCAATTCAGCCGGGAGAGTTATCCTAAGCAGAAATCTCTCCTCTCTGGCCCTCTCCTTTCACCCACCAGGCAAGCCCAAGGCCAGGCCTTTTAAGCCATTCAGCCTCCAACTGAAGAGAAAAAGAATTACAGCATGTCAGGGCCTTAGCGATTTGATCATTCAAACCCACTCTCCTCCCCCATTTCTACAGATGGGGAGACTGAGGCCCAGAGAGTAAATAAAACATGGCCCAAGCTGTAGACTGGAACCAGGAACAGAGCTCAGGGCTTCTGACATCCAGCTTAGTGGGTTTTCTACTGTCCAATGATAGCAGGACAGATAATAAGCACACACACACACATAAAAGTTAATTGACCTCTTCAGCTGTGAAACCACCACAAGTGAAATCCATTTTTCACTGTGTCTACTCCAGCTCATAGTTTGTGGTGGTTTTACCTCTTTTGGGGGGAAAAAGAAAGCGGACTGAGCGGAAGTAAGGAGACCTCAACAAGAGTTTAGATCCCCACCCCTCCTTTCCAGGTAATTCTGCTCTCTCCTGACCTGTGACATCTGACAGTACACAAGAGTCCAGACAAATCATTCCGCGTTGTTTCTTGGGACAGCGTCTTATCTGCTGAATGGGTTGAGAACAGAGCCTAAACTTCACCTTTATTCATTTAGAGCAAATAATTATGAAGCTCCCAATAGATGCCAGTTACTCAGCAAGTCCAATGTATAGTCCCTGCCCTCCAGGAGCTCACAGTGGAGAGAGACACAGAGACACAGAGAGACAGAGAACAGCAGGCTTCTTTCCCCAGAGGGTTTGAGTCTTGCCAATGTGTGTGAGGGATGCTAGGACAGGACGTACCTAGATTCACCATCATTTCTGAGAGCAGACTTTTCTTACAGGAGTGAGAAAGAAATCAGGAGCCATGGTGGTCAACTAGAATGGTAGGAATTGGCTCCAAAAGTGAAGGTGATCTGTGTGTGTGGTGGTGTGTGTGGGGGGTGTACCTTTCCTACTATTCCTAAAATTGCATCATGTGGTCTTTGTTGCAAGTCAGACTAGAATTGTAACCCTGCCCTCAGAAGTCCATGGTCAGAGAGACAAACCTGCCCCACCTGGTTTGGTGCTTCCTCCAATGTTCACCGTCCCTTAGTTTCATCAGGAGGTACAGCAAGGCTGGTTGAATCCCCATCCTCCCTACTCTCCTAGCTTCTCTCGCCCTTCTCCAGAGCAGCTTTCCAAATCCCTTCTTCATTCCTCCAGCCTCTAATCCCTCACGCCTCCTTCACTCTCTGCTGATGACCTGAGCTCCCGTTGTCCTGTCCTGAACAGCTCAATGCCAGGTATAATGAGCACCTCTGACCAGCCTGCCCCGCAGCTCTGCTCCATCAAGCATCCGCCAAAGCCCTCACTCTTCTTCCTCAGTTTCTCCTCCTGAGAGGCTTTAGATATATGCTCCAGGCCGCACTCCAGACTTTTCCCCAACCTCCCTCTAGCCTTTTTCGCACCTTCTCGACATAAAAGTTCTTCTCTTCCTCACCGCCTCGACTTCACCCCGACCACTCACACCACATCCAATTTAATACAACATATACTTGTTGAAGTTTCTACCCAGTATCAGAGACGCTGTATTTAGTGTGTTTGTGGATAACACAAAATTGTTCTTTTTCGCTTGGCTTTGACCATCCTAATTCAACCCAAGTAGTCTTCCTGTGGACCTCAATGACGTCCTGAATGCCAAATTCGGGACCACATGCCTCACAAATCCATGTTGGAGCAAGGCAAGCTAAATATACATACACACAGGCCAAGGTCAGGGTCTAGCACTATACCTGGTACTTAACAGGTGTTGAATAAACACACTGATTGTTTCTTTTCTTCCCCTTCATCCTCTCTAATTTAAAGTCTGTGACCACTCCCTTCTTTCCAAACCTCTCTTCCCCCACGTTTTCTATGGAATTTTGTGGATCTGAGCTCACTCTGTCTTAGGTAGGGTTCCCCCAAAAATAGACTGAGAGAGAGATTGGCTGGAGAGATTACATGATGTTATACTGTTAATTTGTTTTAAATCCCTGGGGCCACATGAACATGGTCTCTCCAGCTGTCAACTGCAATATTTCCTCCACATCCCAGCAAACCTTTCTGAAGATGTGCACCGTTGTTGTCTCCTCCAATTCCCCTCCCCTTCTCTCCTCTGCCCACTGCCCCTGAGCCCTTGCTGCCCCTATTCTGTGGGAACTGCTAACGTTAAGGTCCTCATGCAGCCAGGTTCAAGGACCCCCTTTCTGTCCTCATTGCAATTAATCCAGTCACAGCATGGACACAGCTGAGCCTTCTTTCTTAAAAGAGTTTCTTCGCTAGGTGTCCATGTCACTGCACTTGTCGCCTACCACAGAGACCTGTCCTTCTTGGCCTCCCTCAGGCTCCTGAGCCTCTAAATGGTGGACGGACCCAGGCTCACTCCTAGACCCTCCACTTTTCTCCTCCTGCCTAAGTGATCTCACCCACTCTCATGAGATCAAAGGCCAAATATACGCTGGTGAACCTCAGTCCCGAGATCCCCTTTGAGCTCCAAACACATAAGCATCTACCCATTTGATCATTTGCTTTGAACAGCCAACAGGCACCTCAAATTTAACACGTCCAGACTGAATACCTGATTTCCCGTCTCTCTCACACACACACACACACACACACACACGGGCACAGGCCTAGCTTCATGGGCCTGTGTGTGACCAGTGTAGTTGCACAGGGCCCTGCGCTCAGAAGGAGGCCTAGCACTTGCGGGTTAAAGCTCATGGTCACCCTCTTGAAATTCTTAATGATTTTATGTTTGAATCTGTGTTTCGTAAGCACAATCCAGTGGAACCACGAAGCACGTACCAGGGGCCTGGAGCCTCAGCTCAGGCTCGGTGCCCCTCTCACCGCCTCCCTGCTTCCCTGGGATGGGCTCTCAGTCACCTGTTTCCCCGCCCCTACCCAGTGACTGCTGCCTCCTCTGTCGTCTGTGTTGGGGGTATCGGGGAGGGAGGGGCACGGATGTGAGGAGGGTCAAGGTCAGGCACAGGCACCCCGGCACCAAGTTGAAGGGTGGGCCCTGTGAGGGTCCACACTCATGCTATTAGTATCCCTGTGCCCAAGGGAGCAGGGCCTTAAGTAGCAAATAAAAAACCACCCTGACAAGTCAAGAGAGAGAGAGGAAGAAAGCAAAAAGCTTTCTTTCTGAACCCACATTTTCCGTTTGCACTAGGGCCCCACCTATGATGCAGCGGCTCTGAGTGGGCATGACACTAGTCATGTGGTTGGAAACAGGCTGTCAGGGGCTGACTGCTGTGCGTTTTCTGTAAAGGCTGGATGGTAATTATTTTAGCTTTTGCAGTCTCTGTTTCGACGACTCATCTCTGCCATATAGAGTCACCTATGGCTGCCCAAAGCAGCCATAGACAATACATAAACCCATGGGTCAGGCTGTGTTCCAATAAAACTTTACTTCTAAAAACAAACAGTGGACCAGATGTGGCCCCCAAGCTGTGGTTTACCATTCCTTGTTACAGACAAGGGAAATTTGTCTGAAGGCATCTGAGCAGCAGAAAGGACAATCAAAGAAGTTTCTAGAAGGTCATCTTGGCCACACTGTCCAGGATGGATGGGAGAGTGGGGTCAGCCTAGGAGCAGAGTTTCTAGGAAAGAGAACCTTGTAAAACTCCAAACCTAAGGAGCTAGAGGCCAAGTAGTGGCAACGGGGGTTGAACAGGTAGAACAAGACAGCACAAAAGCTTCACTGAGACCAAGGTCACTAACCCAACTCGGACCCTCTTCCATCCAGAGGAGAGGAAGGGCAAGCGGAGGATCCGAACCACCTTCACCACAGAGCAGCTGCATGAGCTGGAGAAGATCTTCCACTTTACCCACTACCCTGATGCCTATGTCCGCAACCAGCTGGCAGCCAGGATCAACCTCCCAGAAGCTCGGGTACAGGTACAGCCATCCCCGCCCTCGGCCCCCCACCTCAGTGCACTTGGGGCCATGGGTAAGATCCCATGTATCCTGCACCCTCTAGGGCTGCCCCATCAGAAATTTTCCATTGGCTTTATCCCATGAGTACAGTTATACTGGCCAAATATCATCTTCCAGGAAATGAGGCCACCACAGTTATAAGATGGTTTCTCACCTTGGGGGATGGACACAGAGGTAGCATAGGTATCTGCTTCCACTCCCTCCTTCTGTACTTGGCTGTAGCTCCAGAATATCGTTCACCACACAGCCTCATTCACAAAATAGGTCTTGACAATCTAGACCGGGGCTCAACAGACTTTTTCTGTAAGGGACAAGATGCTAATTAAGTTAGGCTTTGGGGGGCCATAAAGTCACTGTCACAACTATTCAACTCTACACTTGTAGCACAAAAGCAGCCGCAGTTTACGGTATGTAACAAATGAGCATGTTCCAATAAAACTGTACTGGTGAACACTAAAGTTTGAATTTTGTATCATTTGCATGTGTTACCAAATATTATTCTCATTTAGTTTTTTTCCCAACCATTTAAAAATGTGTAAACCATTCTTAGCACAAGGGTTGTACAAATACAGGTAGGAGGACAGAGAAAGCCCAAGGCTCTAGTTTGCCAACCCCTGGCCTAGAACACATGGGCATCACTTTGGAGGCAGCACAGAGAGGTGGCAAGGACCCTCCATGGTCAGAGACCTAATCTGTAATCTGTCATTTTGTCCCCCCAAGCGTCTATGGCTTCCTCTGTGGTTAGAGATACAGTAGCCCCTTGTCACTCACTAGGGGTATGCCTCGCCCTCTGCATATCCCCAGTCCTGCAAGAACCGCTCTAGCAAATCCAATTGTTACATGTTGGCACTCTCTCTAAAACAGTTTTCTAAATCACTCTTCATTTTTTTAAACAAATATAATGGGGGAACTATATTCAATATCTTTTTTTTTATAATTTCACTTTTAATGAATAAACAAAAAAGCAATCCTTGAAAAACAGAACAATATAATTTTTTAAATTTTATATTGGAGTATATTTAATCTACAATGTTGTGTTAGTTTCAGGTGTACAGCAAAGTGGTTTAATTGTACATAAACATACATCCATTCTTTTTTCAGATTCTTTTCCCATATAGGTTATTACAGAGTATTGAGTAGAGTTCCCTGCGCTACACAGTAGGCCCTTGTTGAGTATCTATTTTATACATAGTAGTGTGTATCTGTTAATCACAGCCTCCTAATTTATCCCTCCCCCCGTCCACCTTTCCATATCTTATAACCTATAATGGAAGAGAACGTTAAAAAAGAATATATATATTTATATGTATAACTGAATCACTTTGCTGTACATCTGAAACTAACACAACCTTGTAAATCAACTACATTTCAATAAAAATTAAAAAAAATATATGATGGACTCATTCGAATTCAAAATCTGCTCCAGGGTCCATGTCAACATTCCACCCTTCATTTCACTGGAACCTACTGTTCTTCTGGTGAACGACCGCCCCTGTCTGGACTTCTCCCCTTTTTCTTCCTATGTGAAAACAGTCACCAGCTAGGTGGGTAGCGTCTGCATCCAGTAAGGCCCAGAATTCAGCAACTGCCTTGGCGGTGCGACCAAGTGCAGACGGCAGCATGTCATGGACAATCAGGGCACTTGCGAACACAGGGAACCGCCAACATTCAACCAACCTACAGATGCCACGGGGCCCAACGGGGCTACAAACCGGTGGCCCACCAGCAGGAAAGAACCTAGATGGGTTTTATTTGAACTGCACGGTATCTTAAATCTCAGCGCTTTCACATAAAAATCAAGATTTCTGCCTTAGAAGTTGGACGAGCTTGCAACGCTGGCCTCACATTTCCACATGGTGACTGTTGGCTAAAGCTGAGAAGCTGCCCCCTTTAGCCACTGCTCACCGCAGACTCCACCACTCCCAGTTACATGGCACCCAGCTGCTTCACCCCATCCCATGAGCCCACACCCCTGCAGGTATTGAGGTTGTGATCCCCGGCCCCCTCTCTCAAGGCAGATCAGATCCAAAGAAATCCTGGATGCCATGGAGCTTCCTACTGTAAAGGGTTGGTCCCTTGGAAGGCGCCGTCATTATGCATTTTGGGGGGAGGAACTAGATGGCGAAAATCCCTTTTGCTTATCTCCATCCTCTCTCGCCTTCATCTCAGATCTGGTTCCAGAATCAGCGAGCCAAATGGCGGAAGCAGAAAACCAGCAGCCTTGGGGCTTCGCCGCAGCCGAGCGAGGCCGACTTGGCCCCGCCCACAAACCCAGACGTGGTCGTGAGTGGCTGAGGCGGAGGGCGGGGGGCGGTCGCGGGCGGGAGAGGGGGTGTGGCTGGGGACCTCCGGAGCTCTGTCTACAGTAAAAAGTGCAACGACAATTCTTTTAGAAAGATAGTAGGCCCGGATGCTGGGGAAGTCGCTGCCTCTGTCCCCGTGTCCTCCTCCACTGAGTGCCAATCACACTCCTCTCCCTCCTCCGGGGACCCACGTGTATTACTTATGCAAAACTTCCCAGTTTATGGAGCAGGATCACAGAGTAAAGGGCGGTGCGTGGAGGTCGAGCCCACTGGCTGGGGAGTCAGGTGGCCCCGGTTCGAAGCCCAGCTCTGCGCTTAGCAGCAATGTGGCCTGGAAGAGTCACTGTGCCCCTCAGAGGACAGTCACAGATTTGATGAGGATGAAACGACCGCTCATCACCTAGGAAATGCTCCCTAAGGTTTAGCTGTCCACTGAGTCAACACAGATTTGGAATGTGTACCAGATGCCAAACAGGGGCGGCAGCAGTACACGAATAGACACTCCTATGGGTAACGGTTTGTACAAAGCCATGAGTGACCCTATGAGGTAAGATTTTTAATTTATCCATTTTTTGCTAATGCAGAAACTCGACTCTGAGAAGCAAAGTGACTTTTCCACAACAAACAGTTTCTGTAAATGACGGGATGGGGACGATGTTTCCTGGCCCCCTGGGCACACATTTCTCCCCAAGTTGGTCCCCCTACCCACTCCGAGCTGCCCGAGAGTAACGGGGAAAGGTTGGGAAGCCGAGGGACAGCCCAGGGTAAAGTTCAGGGCTCACTTCTCTCTCCTGGCCTCTCCTTGTGACAGGGCCCCATGCTGCTGCCCCCTGCACGGCCCAGGCTGGCTCCTCCCACAGGTTGCTATTTACCGGCTCAAGGTCAGCTGGCCTCTGCCTGGCTCCCCACCCAGATCGCCCTCCTGCCATGCCACCCGTGGGAGACACAGCCTCTCCCAGGCCCTCTCATCATCCAGCAGACCTGCATCCCTGCACTTTGCTTTTTTTGCACCTCCGCACCCCAAATGGGGCAACATCTGTGCCACTTCCACACAGGGACCAGACATCCTCTCCTTAGTGGAGCTGCTCTCTTCTCCAGGTGAAGGCAGGTGGCGGGAAGGTGCCCAGGTCTCTGGGGGAATCAATCTCAGGATCCAAAGACAACCCACAGCCCAGGAAGCCACCCTGAGGTTGTCCCTTGGAAGGTTGCATCGGACTTAGCAGCAAGGTGACCAATAAAGGAAGCTCTCATCTCTCCTGGCCAATGTCACCCTCCTGCTTCAGGCGACAGACACTGAGGGAGGTCTCGGGATGATCTCTGGAAGGAAGAGGTCGTCCTCTTGCACCTGTACTTCCTCTAATTTGCTGTGTGACCTCCAGCCAGTCACTCACCCACTCTGGGCCTCATTTGTAAAACAGGCAGTTGGACAAGGTGACTTCTGAGGGTCCTTCTGGCCCTTACTTTGGTGAGATAAACTATGGTGAGAACAGAGGCACAGAGGAGACTAAGGAGAGGTTTGTTCATTCATTCATAAGCGCTCACCTACTGAGCACTTCATAAATGGAACTGGATATTGACATGAACAGCTGAGGCTCTGTGCCCTGAAGCTCAGTCCAGGTTGGTGGAAGGAATGGTACTGACCTCCCCCTGCAAGCAGAACATTCGCTCAATGACCTTGCAAGAGGCCCATGTCTAACACATTCTGTTTGGCTTTGATATGAATGTCCTAAAGAGGGAAGGAAATATAGAAACATTTCTTTAAAAATTTAAACAGAATTTAGTGTCTTTGGTTATTCTGCTGGCTTGGGGAGGGATGCTGTCATTTCTGGTTTGAATGAAGGGTAAGAGAGTAAGCTCTTTTCAGAGTTTAACTTCCCAGGATTTGTGAAAGGGGCCTAGTTAGAAGGCCAGCCTCAATCTGTGCTGAAAAGCCTAAGAAAGAGGGAGGGAGGGAGAAACTGGGGTGGTTAACTTTTATGGGCTGGGTAATTTCATAGGCTAATGAGTGGAAGGATTATTCCAACTACTTTGGAGAAGGGGTGGGGATTTCCAGGAATTGGGCCACTGCCCACTTTTTGGCCTTCTATGTAATGGCACTGGTGGGAGTCTCGTTTAGTGTATGCTAATGTATTACAATGAGCGTATAATGAGGCTCAAGGTCTACTGGAAGTTGAATCTTCCACCACTTTGGACCTAATTGGTTCTAACCAGTTTATGTCGTATCCTCAACGGCTATCTCATTCTTTTAAAGGTTGTGCCCTGCCCCCTGCCCCCCTGGTCTCAGTACGATCATATAAATATAAAATGAACACGTGCCAACGTTTTATCTAACTCACTAATTAATGGGGGAACCAGTAAGACATCATAACAGTTCAAAGGAGAATTCAAAGAACAGACACAAGCAGAGGCAGTCAGGAATGCTGAAATGAATTACAAACAGAGACAAAAAGGGTCAATGGCCACAGGGAAGTAATCAATGTCATCTCCACCAGGCACAATTCATTTGCATTTCTATAGACAAGTATCATTTGCATTAGTACCAGTTTCCAACAATTATACAGAGTGGAAAAATAGCTCACAGACAATGAAAGGGGCAGAAATTCTGGAAGAGTGCGCTAGACAGAACAATCTTTTTATGCTTATTTCAAAGTCTTTCACAATTTTTCCTGACCTAAAAGTTACTTAATCTCTCTGGGGATACCAGGACCTGCCTCAGAAGTTAGCTATGAAATTATATTAGATGATATAGCCAAGTGTTTTGTACTTGTAAAACACCATGATGTTAGGAAATGATTATTTATTGCCTTTCAAGTTTAAAAGTCTACATCTAGAAAGTGTTTAGAAATACAGTAACATTTCTTTAATATTCATTGACCTTTGATGGTTCAGTTTTTTAAAAGGCTAAACAAGACACAAAATGGGCAAAGAGCAGAAATAAGAGATTCCCAGGAAAAACATATAAATAGATACTAAACCTACAAAAATAGTCTCAACCTCATCCATCATTTAAAAATGTAAGTAGGGCTTCCCTGATGGCGCAGTGGTTGAGAGTTTGCCTGCCGATGCAGGGGACATGGGTTCGTGCCCCAGTCTGGGAAGATCCCACATGCCCTGGAGCGGCTGGGTCCGTGAGCCATGGCCACTGAGCCTGCGCGTCCGGAGCCCGTGCTCCGCAACGGGAGAGGTCACAACAGTGAGAGGCCCGCGTACCACAAAAAAAAAAGTAAGTAAAACAGTAATGCGATACATTTGTTTTACCTTTCAGGCTGGCAAATATTTCAAAGTGTTGGTAAGGGCTTGATGAAAGTCACTCTCATATAGAAGGAAGTATAAATTAATAAATTATTTTGGACGATAACTTCACAACTACTCATATTCTAAATGCACATCTCTTTGACTCAGTAATTGTTTTTGCAAGAACTTATCTGATAAATACACATGGATATAAATACTGTCTATAAGAATGTTCACCAAGGCTTTGTGACAGCAAACCCTGGAAACCACCAAAATAAGACACTGGTTGAGACCACTGATTATAGCATATTCATCCAGCTGTTAAAAATAATGAGAGAGGGGCTTCCCTGGTGGCGCAGTGGTTGAGAATCTGCCTGCTAATGCAGGGGACACGGGTTCAAGCCCTGGTCTGGGAGGATCCCACATGCCGCGGAGCAACTAGGCCCACGAGCCACAACTACTGAGCCTCCGCGTCTGGAGCCTGTGCTCCGCAACAAGAGAGGCCACGATAGTGAGAGGCCCACGCACTGCGATGAAGAGTGGCCCCCGCTTGCCACAACTAGAGAAAGCCCTCGCACAGAAACGAAGACCCAACACAGCCCAAAATAGATAAATAAATAAGTTTTTAAAAAAAAGAAAAAAGAAAAACATAATGAGAGAGACTGAAATACACCTCATGGGAAACTGTCATTAGACACATCACTGAATGGAAAAGGCATGTTTCAGAACAATATCATGGGCTCAGTTGAGTAAGAAAAAGGTCAGATATCCTGATATTTAAACACATCATCAGAATGTGATGGTTTCTGCACCGTAATAAATCCCACCAACACTTAGTTGCTTGAAATAATGATTTCTTTGGCTCAGGCTTGACCGGGCTCCTGGTCTAGTCGGTGCTGACTTAGCTGATCCCGGCTGGGCCTGCTCATGTGTCTGCGGTCAGCTAGTCGGTCAGTGGCCACCGGGGGAATCTCAGGTGGCCTTACTCACAGACAGGCCTGGGTCTGGTAGGCTGTTAGCTGAGGCCACAGGGTGACCGGGCCTCAGTAGGCTTCCTTGTAGTGTGGTCACAAGATTCCAACAGCACAAAGGCAGAAGGTACAAGGGCTCTTGAGTCTTGGCCTGAGAATTCACTTCTCACTTCCACTGCCTCCACTGGTGAAAGCAAGTCATAAGCCCAGCCCGGATTCAAGGGGTGGGAAAACAGTCCTCCTCTTGACAGGAAGAGCTACAAAGTGCATGCCATGCTTACCATCCCCCATAACACCCAAATGAATTTCTCATCTAGGCTTCTTCCTTGAGTGCTCCTGACACCTCCACTTGACTGTCTAATGTCATCTTGAGGCAGGAGATAGGTGGGCCCCCGGGGCAAACAGTTGGAGTTCGTTCTCTGTGGACCGATACTCCAAGACGAAAACAGCCGGACAATCGAGGGAGGAGGCTGGGCCCTGCCCAGATAGAACATGAGACCACATATTCCTCATTCTCAAAGTCAGGAGACCTCCCCGACTACACATGCACAGAAAAGCTCCTTGGAGGTCAAACGGGAGGGGGCGTCACCCCATAGTAAGTGATGCTAACTACCCATAGGCCTCTTCAGTAGACTCCATCTTGGCTAAGAGATGCGCGCACACCTGGGAGGATCCTGAGATGTACCAAATACGGACTCTGAACCAGGCAAATTGAAATGATTGGCCAAAGAAAACCCAGATTTAAACTACCACGAGAGCGTGACTCTCTCCCTCTCTGAGCCCCCCCGTGTGTCTATCCCCACGTACTGTACTCTGTTTTCTTCTAATAAACACTTTACTTGTTTCACTACTTTGCATCTTTGTGGGAATTCTTTTCTGCAAAGCCGAAGGGCCAGGGCCTTGTCACTGGCCACTGGTCGAGTGGCTAGCAGTTGGTGCTCTCACCGCTGCGACCCGACCTCAGTCTCTGGCTGGGAACCGAAGCCCTGCTTCAGGCTGCTGCAGGCCGCGGCCACCTGACATCACTCTCAAATTTAACACGTCTAAAAACAAACTCTATTCACTCCCCACCCCAAACGTGCTTCTTCCTCAGCCTTTCTCCTCAGCACATGGCAACGCCTTTCTTCCAGTTGCTCAGGCTCAGATCTTTACAGCAATTTTGATGACTATCTTTTCTTTATAAATATATATTTTTAATTGAAGTATAGTTGATTTACAAAGCTGTGTTAGTTTCAGGTATATAGTAAAGTGATTCAGTTATAAATATATTTTCTTTTTCCGATTCTTTTCCATTATAGGTTATTATGAATATAGTTCCCTGTGCTAAACAGTGGGTCCTTGTTGTTTATCTATTTTATATATAGTAGTGTGTATATGTTAATCCCAAACTCCCAATTTATCCCTCCCCCTCCCTTTCCCCTTTGATAACCATAACTTTGTTTTCTGTGTCTGTGAGTCTATTTCTGTTTTGTAAATAAGTTCACTGGTATCATTTTTTTAGATTCCACATGTAAGTGATATCATATGATATTAGTCTGATGACTATCTTTTCTAATCAAGTAGCAAACCCAGCATCCAACTCTATCTCCTTGATGCCAGCCACGAGCATCTCCCCACTGTTTCCTTGTGCTCACCTCGCCCCACCTGGGCTCTATTCTTCACTCCGCAGCCAGAGGGATGCTGGGAGAATGTGAGTCAGATCATGACTCAAACCCTCAAGTTCTTCCCTGCCTCACGTGGAATAAAGTCAAGAAGTCCTTCCCGTGGCCAACACGGAAGTTTCTGTGGCTCCCATCATCTTCCTCAGGGCTCCCTGCTCCGGCCTTGCTGGCCTCCTACCAGCTACTGCTCCACAGTGCTGAATACAATCCTACCCCAGGGCTTTTGCACTTCCTGTCACTGCCTGAAACATCCTTTTCTAGCTATTTGCCTGGCTCACTCCCTCAATCAAATAGTACTCAGACAGCCCCCCTCAGGCCATCCTTCCTAAGAGAGCACGCACATACACACCTTGTCATTCCCTACCCCTTACCCCATTTTTTAATTTTTACAGTGCTTATCAATACCTGACATATTATGCATTTCTTTATTC